AAATATGTGAAAACATTTTAAATGCTTTAACCTTTTATCTATTCGAGATGTGTGTGAAAAGAGGATCACACTAACGTGGACATAAGATTGATTGATTGATTATTGTCTGTTTTACGTCCAGTGGCAAATAAGGAATTAAAAGAACCGAACATTAAACCTGAAAGCAAAATTTACAGATCTTAAAATATAGGATCGTGTATTGAATTGATTTTTTTTTTTTATGACAACAATTTTCGAAAGTTATATTGAAATGCCCATGACTTGCGAGTATTTTTTCTCGTAAGTTTTTTTTTGTGAAATGAGTCGCAGGAGTCTGCCTGTATTTGGTTGGTTATCGTCTGACATAAACAAACAAAAAAATCGTTTATGGTAAAAGCTTCACCAGGTCGTTAATTTTCCTTGTTGTATTGTTTCACATTTCGTTGTCAAGGATGCCTTTTTATAGCTTACTCTACGGTGTGTTTTGTATATTGTTGAAAGCTTGTATGTGCTTACATCTTCTTCCCTTTAGTCTTTCGGTGAATAATTGTCTCATTAGCAATCTTAACCACATTTTATCTTTATACTGTAGTGTTACCATAAAGCATGTAATAACAAGTGAATAAATGTATATTAAAACAAGAATGTGTCCATAGTACACGAATGCCCCACTCGCACTATCATTTTCTATGTTCAGTGGACCGTGAAATTGGGGTCAAAACTCTAATTTGGCATTAATATTAGAAAGAAAATATCATAGGAAACAAGTGTACTCAGTTTCAAGTTGATTGGACTTCAACTTCATCAAAAACTACCTTGACCAAAAACCTTAACCAAAAACTTTAACCTGAAGCGGGACAAACGGACGGACGGACGAACGAACGGACGGACGCACAGACCGAAAAACATAATGCCCGTAGGTGGGGCATAACAATTGCAAATTTTAACTCTAGATCCGTCATATTAGAATTGCGGTTGCATAATGGCTGACATTCTAAGTTACTAAGTTTTGAACATCAGTAAACTACTGTCGCCTGAATTTTACCTTCCTAAAATAAAACGAAAACAATGTGTGATTTATACAAACAAATACCGCATTTGACTTGTTTTTCTCCTTATCTACTAACATGATTCATCGAAGATGACATTTCATTCAGTCAGTATTGCATTCCACATGTACTTGTTATATCGGTTTTCATCTTTTTTTTTCAAAATAATGTCTACATTATCAAATCTTGTGGCAAAATTTATTTTTTCAAATGTGGTTTCATACTGCACTTAAAGTAGGAATTCACATCAAATGATCAATCGGACGATTTCGGTTCGTATATCATCATATAATTAAACGGCATTAATGTGAAATATCGATATGCACTTGCGTTTGAATGGGTTTACCAAAACATGATTTTTTTCATTCACATTTGATTAGCTGTTATATTCAATTTTGTGTTTTGCACGTTAGTTTCTGCCGATGTAGAATCCGTTTAGAGTTGTGAAGTTATGAATATTTAAATAGGCTATATTATTGTCAGAATTGTTGAAAATTGATATTTTTCCTAATGAAGCAAACTTAGAGAAGTGATAGCTAGTATTAATCACTTTTTAAAATAATTATGAAATAATCAATACAAATTAGACCAAAATGATGGAAATCAAAACTGAATGCGGACATATATGATTCTAAATGGCGTCCAAAAATGCCGATGGAAACGAGTTTTGTCTAGCAACTTGGTCAAGTTAATTGACAGATGGTTGGTAAGCGATGAAAAGTAATGACAAATTATCAACAACTGAACTTCTATACCAAAAATAATTATTGTGAAAACATATCATAATCCATTCACGTTGAAGTAACGAAAAATTTTGAGATTATAAAAAAAGAATTGCCATATCTGCAAATAGGAGAATACGTGTATCCGCAATTCACCTCCAAACCAGTCAAAGAATTTCAATAAAAAGTGTAAACAAATGTTTTTGGGACTTTCCATATCTATCAAAAAGGGGATAGGCATCTGTTGTTTGCAAGTCTTCCTAAACTTTTGTGAGGTTATTCAGACTTTATTGAAATCAATAAGCACCTTTTTTTATTACTTGATTTCCTTTAGCAAAACAGGGATTTTTTTGTCGACAAAAGGGAAGACATCTTATATCCTCAACTTCTTCGAAACCAGAGACTGAATTTCAGTGTACAGTTTAATTCCAGTGTAGAGGGTATTGTGCATTTCCTAATTCAGCAATTTATCTGAATAATATTTAGGGTTTCTCATAACTAAACACTGACTGTCATCTTAATAAACTAATGAAAATGAAGCGCTTCTCTGTTTTTGAGGGTTTTTCGGCTTATTTTTACTCATGTTATCTTCTTTATATTGACAAATTCATTATTTCATTTAAATCCCCGTTGATCATATATTCCTTTTGAAAGGTTGAATGTCTACATTTGTTGATTAGTTGAAGGCAGATTAACGCCACGTTATCACAAAAAGGCGAGAATTCATTTTCGGAGAATTTTAATACTATTCTAGCACAATGACTGAAATTAATTATCTAGGAGCTTCTTGGGGCCTTGATCGCTCCCCATACCACCTGCTGTTAAACGACCTCTACGAGGTGGACAGGATCACTTTGTCACAAAATGGGTCCGACAGTTCAAGTTAACATTTGTAAAGTGTTTTTTTTTTATTTCCCATGATACAGGTTTGACTTCTTAAAAAAGGAGTGTTCTAAGGTGCTCCAGAAGAGTATGCAGATCCTTCTCCACATGTGGCTATCGTCGTGTTTCTTCGAAAAATAATGCATAGTGCCTTATTTTAATTAGTGAACCGATACCATGATATTGTGTAACTTGTATTAATAGCCAATGGGATGAGTCGTTAGTGTGGAATAAGTACTTTACTTTGTTTAAATTTACAACATGCTGTTATATAACACATATCTTATATTTCTATTTAAAACAATTCAGGGAAGGTGTAATATGACTTTCTCCAAGCCAAAAGATAAATTTCCACCAGTTTGCAAACTATAGAAATTAGCAACACCATGTGATGCATTTATGAATAATCTCTCGTTATCTTGTTAACACAATAATGGCTAAGTTAAAGATTTCCAACATCAAAGTCGCAATCAACTTTTGAACCCTTTGAAGGTAATTTATGATATTTGATATCTTTGTTCTAAACCTCCGAGGGTGTGTCCTGAATCAGGATTGGAGTTCCAGTTTCAAGTTTGAGATGGAAATTATACAGTTAGGTCGAAATACACAGGTCATTTCCAGGAAATCATTATACGGATAGTATGAATATACGACAATGCTTTGGTCAAGGAGTAGTAATTAGCTTTCGACACGTTGAACTTGAACTGAAACTCGAGAAAAAAATAATTCATTTTACTGTAAAACTTGCTAGAATATTATTGAATGAAGATCATTACAATGGGTCAACATATGTATAGATGTACGTAAATTCTATGAAAACTTTGTCCAGATTACCTTTAAAAGACGTTAATCAGCACCTAGTCAACATATTTTTCTCAAAAAATCGATATGTTGTTGCCAGATAAATGTTCGTTTGAATGATATAAAGCAATTATATATATATACAGGATCACCCACTTTGATTTTTTGGGTATACATCTTTTAAATTGGTGTTCCTTGTGAAAAAATACCAAAATATGTTAATATGAGAAGGAGAGTGAACACTCTGCTTGGTATAAACTTAACATCCCCAGGATAGCAATTCGATCAGAGGAAAATTATTAAAATATAAAGAAACCGACATGTTTATCACCCACTTGATTATGGCCTTCTGTTATACCAGGCTGTTATTTTACCGCGAACAGTCCGTGTGCTTAGGGCAATCGCTAATGTCACGTGGTTGTAATCGGCGAGTGGGTCATTAAAATACAGGTGTAATTATCGTTACAAATCAGTTTAAATATGTTTTTATTGTGCAAAATCATTTGACGCGAAATTCGAAAGTATATCGTCTGACTACGGTGAAAAACGACTAAGAAATGACCAAGTTATGAGGGTTTTAATTTTCTAGATCAAATTCTTTTTCGAGCTCCAACACTTAGGCATCGCTTATAAATAAATTGTCGACCATGATCAAATGATGACTGAAGTACGTCAGCAGAAAACATCCAATGTGTATTTTTCCAAAGCCTGGAATCCTTGTCAAACCTTCACTTTTCGTCAGTAAGGATATATAGGTACTGTCGAGAATTGAGCCATGATCTCAGGCTTATTTTGTAAAATCTCGGTCGGTTTATAACACTTCGGGTGTTTCCTTTCTTACTCGGATGTGTAATAATGACAAAGACTCCCTCTGCGACCGAATCGATCTCAACTAATTAACACCCACTAACAGAAAAGGCGGTAACATGTTATGTGTAATTATCGTCGTTCGTCCTCTCTCCTTGGTGCTCATATAACCTCCTTGGTATGATCGTACGCCGTTGCGTTGTAAAGGAATAAAACGCTGTTTTTTTTTCGACGTTTTTCACTATCAATAGAGCAACAGATTAGTTGCTATATCAAATAAGAAAGTCGATACCCTATGATTAAACATATTTGTTTATCAATAAATTTAAACTTATGTAGCAAAAACATATAGTTCTTTTTAATCTATGGATCGCTTTTGGAGTTTACTGATTTTGATACAACCTAAAAATGTTTCAATCGATTTTACGTGAATTATATATAAATGTACAACTATTTTAAAAGAAGAAGTATTCAAATATTTTTTAAGAACCTGATATAGATAAATGCATTATTTTTCGATTTTTAGTTCAAGTTTAATATACTTCGGTTTAATTCAAACTCTTATAGAAATCTGTGACATGACCTATTTACAAGCTTTTAGTTAACATCACAAAAACTTTTCAGAACAACAGAGCTTCAACCTAAATACATAATACGTGCAAATAAACTAGGATTTTTTGTTTTTTCTTGTTTGTTATATTTTTTTATTTGTTTATATTTTTATTTAGGAAAAGTTTCTAGGGGACATACATCCCGACAAATTCACTTTCTAGATTTACCGTTTTATTTAATAAGGTTGTTTATTTTGTAACATAACTGGATATTTCATGCGAAAAATAGTTTCCTATTCTCTAGTATTCTATGTAATGTCTGTACCTAAGTATTGTTTGTAAAATCATTCTGTACTGACTACCCATATTAGGAATCTGCAAAGCAAAGATTTAAAAATTGTTATTAGCTACTTCCCCGCTAAGCATTTGTCATATAGGAGTAAGAGCAAAGACTGATCGGCTCGAAGTCAGAATAATATGTCCAGGTAGGGTGACATGTCTACTTGTGGACTGTTACCTTGTGAACTAGCACGTTAAAAATCAGACTCCGCGTGTCAGTCTGGTACAAAGCAGGGTTTATATTCATATCACATTGTCATGTTTTCGTCCTGAATATGCATTTAATTTTCCACTGGATGTTAAACATCCATCCTTCCATCCATGTAATCCAGTGGTTGTCGTTAGTTGCTGTCTGTCATATTTGAGTTTATCGTTCATTGTTGTAGTATAAATCAGACCGTTAGTATAGTATAGTTTTATTCAAGCAAATTCAAGCTTATATACAAAAATTCACAAGACAAGACAATAATATATATATTTATACTTTTAAAATAGTATCATAATATATTTTAAAAACCGTGCTTAGAAAAAAGCCTGGGATATCCCATAAAAGCTTACATATCCGTTAGTTTTCTCATTTGAATTGTTTCACATTTTGTCATACCGGGGCCTTTTATAAATCACTATACGGTATGGGTTTTGCTCATTGTTGAAGGTCGCACTGTAACCTGTGATTGTTCACCGTGATATTTGTCCTTTGGTCTTTATGGAGAGTTGTTTATTTGGCAGTCATACCACGTCTCCTTATTTTCACATTCCTATTGGATCCATTGATTATGATTTGTGTTGTTATGTCCTTCGGATCGTTAACATTAACTGTTGCAGTGGTGCAGTGCGATGATAAGGAGTTGATAAATGGGAATGCTTTAAAGATAAATTAAACTAATCAATTTCAATGTGATTTAACCCATTCTAATTTGTACGGGATTATTAGTTTGAGGAGATGAACGATGTGGTGTTTTAAGGATGTCCAAAAAATAATTAATTACATGTTTTAATTCCTTAGTTTGAATTGTCATTAGTACTAAAAGTGTGTCAAATGTATTGATTCAGTAACTAAATACCACAATCAAACAAAACTGTGTATATATCTATATGTTGTAAAATAAATATTTCCACTCGCATTTAAATTGATTGATTTTATTTAAAGTGAATTAAAAACACTGCTTTGAAATAATTCATTATAATTATAACAAAATTAAATAAAAGCAAAGACTTGAAGAGTACGGAAGCGACTGTTTCACAATCCAATTTTAGAAATTCCACTGAATTTAATACTTATATTTATGATGCCCATTTCAAAATTTCAAACACTGACGCAAGAAGTACAGAAAATATAGTTATTTTTCTAAACATAACTGCTATGTATTTTTTTGTTAATAGGCTTTTCTCATTCCTTGTATTATTTTGCTTTGTTTTAGCTCACCTTACGTATGCTGGTCTTTGTTTGAAGTCAGGTGAGCTACTGTCATCACTATGCTTATGTCGTCGTCGTCCGTCGCTATCAACTTTTGATGAAATAAATTTTCCTCTGAAACCCTCAAGATAATCTGGACCAAACTCGCTCATAATCATCTTTAGTCAATGTATCTACGGAGAAAAAGTGTTCCGAATTTCAAGATTAAAATACTAGGTAGTATACTGTCTATTGCGGCAAAACTGACAAACGCCTCCACATGAACGTAGAAGTAATTGCCCTTGAGAAGCGAGAAGCCTTAATTACCAGATCACAATTAAGGTCAAATTTTTAGTTCAGTCCTTATAGGAGTTCTTGTCATCTGAAGCGTTATGGCGTTTTTTTATTTTACTTTTCGATATAGAAACCTGTTATGATATCACCGCTATTTACTCAACACCACCTATTTAGCATATTTTAAAATTTCAATACTCTAAATAGATATGACCATAGATATAATAGGCATAGATAACGGACTCAGAATATGTCCCACTAAGCCCTATGTAGTTTCCTTTGAAATATCAAAAGCACGGCACTGCACGTAGTGGCCTGTGATGTAGATGATGTTTGCCGACATCCTCCCAATAGACTAATTACTTATCATAATTATATTTAAATTATCGGGCACTCGTCTTATCAGCCAATAATTAATGTGCGTTACCTGTCTCAAGTAAAAATATGCCAGGAAGCGGAAGCAATAAGAAGGGTCTGATTGTAAAAGTTGTTTGGATTGTAATTTATTTGGAGAAAATCGGTCAACAAATGAGAAGGCTATGCTGTTGGCGAAATAATAAAATAGAGAAATCATGGAAAATGGACTTAACAGGTATATAAAATTAAATTGTCATAGCACTTGCATCGGTTGCACTCGGGAAATATAAGACCTGTATGATTGACAAGAAGAGACATATCGTGTACTGATGGTATGCGTAGTTAAGAGGTCGAACCGAGTCGAATTTTTCTATGGTGATTTAAAGAAAAAAGTTTTTATCGAGATTCAAAATAGTGAAATCCTATTTTATGCCAGAAGGAAGAAATTATTATTTTTTTAGGAAAACAAAAAGGTTTTTGCAAGTATTGAAACTTTCTGTCGGTACGGTAACACGAAGTTTTTGAAAATAAAGAGAAAAAAAAAGAAATAGGATTATAAAAGCTTGAGCTAGTAGCTTAACTATACTTACATTAGAAATTTCCATGTCACTTGATTTTATTGAATGTTATTTGTTTAAATCTCAAATTAGTGATAATATTGTTATGTCAAAAATTTATTCTTACTGAGTTTCAGCTTAAATTTACAGTGGAAGAGGCTATAAAACAGAAACTCGACTTGACATAAAAAAAATAATTTGCAAATATTTTATTTGTGTATATATAATGTTGTTTTTAATATATCAGTAAAACATTTATCAACAACATCTTTTGGTATATCTTCTTGTATATTTTGCCATGTAGTTCCTCTTATTTAAATCTTAACATCGCGTATTTTAATCTTTAAAACGTTGGTGAAGAAAACGTATGTGGTGGACATACTGAAATACATTAAATAATTGGGAAATAGCACAGGCACATGTCTCTGAATTTTTTTCTTCTATATAGTATATACCTTTCCGCTTACCATTTTTCGTGCTTGTTTTGCAATTAAATAGCTGGTGGTGTATTCTGATTGTCGATTTCATTTTTGAAGTAAACAATATATATATTTAGCGTTATAATGGCTATGAGAAAATTTAAATATAGGAGTTTTGTCCTGTGTCATTCATGGTTTATTTTCCCTTCCTTCTTACAATTGTGCTAGAGGTATTATTCGTACCATAAATAAGCTATATATATATATATATCCCCCTGTAAGTCTGCCCGTTCAGTTGTCAACGTACTTTTTGTGTGCTTTATTTATATCACTTCTTTGGTTTGGTATGAACCCAGATGTGTGTATTTTCGATTACAGTGATTGATAACATGATCGTTGATTCACAACGTTCAGTGGCAAATATTTGATGCATATTCAGGACTAATAAGAACCTTGCATGTAAACATCGGTCATCATTACTTGCATTTTAAGCACGTATATAAACATTCCAAACAAAATGCCAAGGAATTACACCTTGTATAATGAAAGGTATATATACAAAATAAAACTATCAAATAACCTATTTTTAACAAAATAGTTTTACGCTCATACCGAGTATATAGTCTTGTATGAATACAAAGAGATAAGGTGTTAAGTGTCATTTGTACGTATGTATCTCCTTCTTTTTTCTTTCTCGCATTGCTTTATAGTAAATTTCAACTTTCAGGAACTACCATGTAAATAATGTACCGGAAGATTACGATAACTACTGAAGAATGACATATTACTCTCCCGGTTCACAATTTATTAGATATTAATCGACGGCAATTGCCAATAAAGGCTAATTAACACCAAGTGTGACATGTATATAATAAGAGGGTGATAAAATTTCGGCAAATATCATCTGCTTTTGATGTGGGTTCAGTACTTTATCTATGGCTATTATATCTATGATATGACAGAGTGAAAGGGTTTGGCATCCCGTGTAACACATAACGTTTTTTTGTATTTTAGTTCCTTACCAATTTTCCTTTTTTGTAAAAAAAAAACCTGATAAATGACTATGTTTACCCATACCTATATATATAATCTGGAATCTATAATAGAAAGAGGGAAATTGTAAACAGCAAAAATGACCAGTTAGACACAATCTTCAAAGAAATTAGCATGGCGAAATTGTCAGCCGACTCTAGGAGTATTTGCCGGCGCTATATCATAATGTTTACCCATTTAAAAAAAAATGTTTGCCTAGTATCCTCTTTAAAACTTTTATGGATAAGCCAGAAACTCTGTCCAAAGAAAATGATCAGCAAGGTTAGATTTTGACCCACACAGATTCCTTTCATTACAAATATTCTTTTTGTGATTGTACTCAATTTTATAAAAGCTTAATACTAGGTGAGCAAAACTAGCGGCATGGCGCACTGGAACCTCTAGTTTTTCATTATTTTTTTTTTCATATATATATTTTGCTCAACTTTTTTATGTTTTATTTATTCATTTTTTGTTATTTAGTTATGATTGTTGTTTGTTTAATCTCCAGTGACAATATTTATTTTCAAGTTAAGGTGTTCGTATGTTGTTTTCTATCAAATTTAATGTTTGTCTGTTCTTGTTTATTTTTTCCCTTATAATCAGACTGATAGGTATGTTTTGTTAAGTATTTGTTACATTTTTCTTTTGATTTAGAAATAGTCCCTTCACTATTGTGTTTGTTATACTGTTTACAAACTCACAAATAATCAAACTGGTCTTCATTGACATAGTCTTGACGCTTGTTCAGTTCTTTTGGTGTATATTTTTTTTAATTTTCAAATTCTATTTTTCACTAGATCGAGCTTATGTTTAATTTGTTTGTCAACATGCCGAATCCAAATTAAGTTTTACTTACTTCAGTTTTACTTAGAAAAAAATATCAGTTCATTTGTCTCATAGACTGTGTAATGTGACTGGGTTTTAATATTTCTAGAGTGTTCGTTTTGTTTGTATCAACGTTACCATAGTTAAACTCGTAATTTTAAACGTGTTTATTGCCGATTTTGATTCTAAATTTATTGTCCGTTTCAAGCACTGCACTGACTAAGAGATAATTGGAATGAGGTACACATGGGTTATCTCGATAAATAAAGAATGAGAGCATATAAACTACACATAATCCTCCCCCAAAATACTCTGTCTGTCTTTTCTACGCAGCAAATTTCAGGTACAATATAGAAATTTTAAAGCAAACTGATTATCCTCAAAGTAAAAGATATGACAAACTGACTTAACAGGGCAGATGAACAGATCATCCTGGTAGCTTCTGCCAGAGACACATAATAATTGTATTATATGTCTCTGCTTCTGCCTAGTACCCTAGCTATGTCCTTATTAATGCAGAAGTTTCACACGGGTAACTGTTTGACATGAAAGATGAAACGATATCATTTGTTTTAAAACGATAAAACAGCGCATTTATTTAAACAAAAAATATTGAAAGATGAAAATTACTGACCCATTGACATTTTGCCTTGATTAGTTAAAATGATTATTTTATAATGTCTTGAAAGGCTATTTTATTTTTTTTGCTGTGACTCCTTTTCATCGCAGGAATGCGTCACAGCAAAAAAATTTAAATAGCCTAATTATTTGGACTATCCATTGATAATATATCAAAAAAGGGATCCATTCCAGTGTCACGTTTCTGTACACCTTCCTATAGGAAGAAATCCCCCACCCCCTGTGCTTGTAGGCAAGAGTTTGTCATAACAATGAATTGGGTGCACCAAACTTAAATAGGGTTATGATAAGGTGAGTGCAACTGCAATGGTATATTGGCCATTCAGTGGCAGATCCAGGGGGGGGGGTGGGGGGTTCTGGGGGTTGAAACTCCCCCGTTTTTTGAGGATCAATGTATTTGAATGGGGACATATAGTTGGAACCCCCCCTTTATCCTGGGTTAGGAACCCCCCTTTTATAAATGGCTGGATCCGCCCCTGACATTTATCAACTTTCTGATGGTAGTTCCCAAGGAATTCCAAGTCTGTCATGGTATTCCTATGCTCCAATATAGGTACAGGAATGATGCAAAACGTATAGTGTCTAAATAAGACCAAGCTACTCGATTAATTTACAAAATTCTTGAGATATAACTTTTTAACATCTTTGCTAGCCAAGGGTTTATAACAATCCAGTCCCCTAATCTCCACCCTTGTCGGATTAAGATAGAATTTCGGATCCACGAGGTTATGATTTCCATTGGTTGCAGTTGTAACTGGCTGCATCCAATCAAAAAGCGCCTTTAAGATGAACATGTGTACATGTAGAAAATGTAAATAAACAATTGCCACGTGCTGATTGTGCAACAAGTCTTTAACATCAAACATAAAACGATTTTTAGTGACAATTCCAAAGTTCTTAATCAACTAATTGAAGTTCAAGGGACTGATTTAAAATTTGTAGTGGAAGATCTCACTGTGACTTTGATATGTAGAAACAGCATTTAAAGTGCTGTTCCTTCGAGAACCCCAAATCAACTAAACTGGGGAAACCATAATTAACATCACCCAAAAATATTGATATTTCGCTTTTTACATGTTTACAAACATGTATTAATTCCTCTTTACCAGGATGCTATTTATTATGTCTGGTGGGAACATTGGCTCCTCAAGTATTTTTCTCTGCAAATGCATGTTGGTTTATGGTAAGCAGCATTTTTAAAAATATTGTTTATTTCATAGTTTTGCAGATCCTTTAATGTTTGAACTTAAAAGCAACAGTTAGTTAAAGATGGACCTCCAACAGATGATGGAAACCAGTATTGTCACAGGAGGAATGGGGACAGTCTTATTTTACTTGAATAATAAAGCTGATACAGAAACAGAGTTAGCTGTGTTAGGTATGAATATAACTTATATTAGACTTGATATATGTTCATGTATGAAAGAAAGATATTTATCAATAACTTACTACAACAAATGTGTAACACTCAGAAACGTATCCTTCCCCCCAAACGTTTCCTATTCCCCCAAATGTGTCCACATGACGTCACTGAACTGCAAAACATGTTTAAATGTAAAAGGGCACCAAAGCGTGTCATTTGTCTAAACACCCAAACATGTCCATTTTTCAATGAACACCCAAACGTGCCCAATCCCTCAAACGCATCCTTATCAAGCTTAATTTTTTTCTTTTACTGGAACTACCATTCATGTCCATATTATAAATACGTAGGTTATTTGGTTATTGTTTTTTCATTAACGTATACTCATTTTACTATTTCATTCAAAAATAGAAATAAATTCCTTTAGGTCTTTTTTAAACCGGCAGTATAACCTGGTTAAAAGTGGTGGTGTCCGTTCAGCTATGTTGGATGTAAATGTAAGCAAAAATTAAATCAGATACCTCGTGTAGGGAGTATGTCCCATTCTCTGCGCATTAAAAACTTTGTAGCAATTCACTCTTTCATGGTGCCATCAGTTGTATTTTGGAAGGCAACATTTTAAAAAAAATTTCGCTACTTTTATTTAAAACGGCCTCTATTACATAACGGAGATTGCAGTAGTTTCTTACTGAAGTCATAAAAATATCGGTCTTCACTCGCTCTTATTTTTTTTAGATTAAAATCCCAACTAGTGTTAATCCCGAATAACCGTCAAAATTTAGGCCCAATCCTAAATTCCCGGTATGATAATAGGACCTATATACAGTATTTATTGTTAACATGATGTCGTTTAAATAATGCATGAAATATTTGGCACTGGACGTTATTTCTCTTGTTCGTGTGTCTTTAGTGATGCTCGAAACCTAAAATTTATTAAAAAACCTGAAAACCAGTTTATGATTCGAAGAGCTTTTAAAATATCAGAACTTTTGAAAAAAAAGGGAAGTCATTTCTGCTGAGAGCCCCCCGTCGGATTAATATAAAAGGCATCATCCGAGTTTATACGTAACACATAATTTACATAGTAAACGATTAATTCAACTGCACTAGAATTATTTGTATGTTCGCTCTAAATGAGCATGAAATACTTGCAACTGGACAATAAGCAAATTCAGTCAAAAGTTAGTTCATATGTTACATATTAAATTTGCAATTATGATAATCATTAACAACCTGCATTGAACAAACTAATGCTAATAAATTACTATCAACTGTTTCCCCCATCAAAGAATTGCCGTAAACATTATTGATTTCATTTAGGACATACATGTATTAGCCCTTAAAGACGTAAGATGTTCTGGCGTTTAACAGTGGACACGAATAACAATTATCGGACACTTTTGGGGAGAATAGACACGTTTGGGGGAATCAGATATGTTTTGGGGGATGGACACGTTAGGGAGTGTTACAAATATACCAGCAAACTATTCTTTTAAACATACACACTAAAATGTATAAAAGTAAGAAGGTGTGGCAAGATTGCCAATGAGACAACTCTCTACCAGAGACCAAATGACATAGCAGTTCACAACTATAGGTCACTGTACAACCTTCAACAATGCCCAAAACCCATACCGCATAGTAAGCTATAAAAGATCCAGAAATGACAATTATGTAAAACTAACAGTCTGTATCTCTTGACTGTAACCAGTTTGGTTTGCATACTTGATGGTGTAAATTTATTTTGTCACATGTAAGATAACCAACAACCATGGCATATATGGCAATAGAGAATTGGTGTATCACATAAAGAATTTTTTTTCTCAAGACATTGAAGAAAGTTTTGCCTCAAAATTTATAAAAATGACAGTCTGAAATGCATTGTCAGTGAATCACAAGCCTTGGGCTTAGGAAATCTTGAGCCCATAATGGGTTTTTGATATATTTTATTGGATTTGAAAGGTAGAAAATTAAGCAAGTCTTTAGAGGAGGTTTGTTGAAGGAAATGTGCATAAGAGTAGCCGACAAAGTGCCTCAAAATTATTCCTTAAGTGGTACAACTCTTGATTACTATTTTGATAAGTTGCAGGTTACATGAAGTAGAAATAAGAAGATGTGGTATGAGTGCCAATGAGACAACTCTCCATCCAAGTCACAATATGTAAAAATAAACGATTATAGGTCAAAGTACGGCCTTCAACACAGAGCCTTGGCTCCCACCGAACAGCAAGCTATTAAGGGCCCCAAAATGACTAGTGTTAAACAACCCAAACGGGAAAACCAACAGTCTAATCTATATAAAAAACGAGAAGTACATGTATCTAAGTTTTAAGTCAAAGAGTCCTTTCAGGTTACTTATCCTGTTCTTTCCTGATAATCCTGCTCCATCAGACAGCACCACTATTCCATGTTAATCCAGTCAAGAAAAAAGGTATTTACAGGTATTTGTCACAAACATGAAAATTATGCAAAAACAAGAAGACAATTCCAATTTGCATGAAACATTTAAGTACTGGTGAGACTAAAATTAAAAAAAATAAATGCTTATTGGGAGAATTAAACATTAAAAACTTGAGAAAAGTTGAAAATAAAACTGTCAGATTGTTTCAAAGTAAATATTTAAAACATGCTTGGAGGAAATAAAATTTCCTTCACTTTCATAAAACCATGCAAGCAAATGTTTGTTTTATAAACACATATAGGTCTTACCTTTAATGCTTGAAGATGGACAAAGATTTGTGCTACAATTAAGAAAAACTCTAGAAAACTATCAGAAACTTTAAATATGGGTCATAAAAAGGATCTTGTCCAAGTTACACCCTTATGTTTGCTGTTTATTTTAGTGGGAGAAATGACCTCTTGAATACAAATATATAATTGAAATGTATTACTGGTAATAACTTAAAATCTTTTATTGTGCATCCACATGATCCACATTTTATTATACCCCACGCAACGAGTTGCGGAGGGTATAATGTTTTTGACCCGTCTGTTCGTCCGTCAGTCCTGTTTCTTGTCATCGCAACCCCTCTCAAACCACACAACAGAATTTCACGAAACCTTTTTAGATAATAAGGACATACTATGTAGATGTGCAT